AAAACTGAGTGTAGGAACAGGCAAAAACTGAGTGTAGGAACAGGCATCTGTAACCCCAGACTCAGGGTTGAGGAAGTAAACAAGAGAATCTATGGAGTTCGTTAGCCCAGTGGCATTCTGTGAGAGACCCTTTCTCAGAATGCAAGGTCACAAGTGATTGAGGAAGACCTTAAGACCTCTGGTCTCCACATATATGCGAGCATACCTGCACGTGTGCACATCCCCACACAATGTTACTGAACTGTCAGCTCTCACCAGGCATTATCTAAAACATTGCTTAGCACATGTGTTATTGATGCAGTTTGGCAACAGATAACAGTTCGTGGCATCGCCACAAACACCAACTCCCCCCACCCCATCACTTCCTCCAGGAAGCCTTTCCTGGCCTCTGGCTGGGTCTGATAGCAACAATGTTTGGGGCCTGCCCTGTGTGTCTTCTGGTTCTTTGTTTTGTTTTTCAAGACAGGGTCTCACTGTGTAACAGCCCTGGCTGACCTGGAACTCACTCTGTAGACCAGGCTGGCCTCAACCTCCCAGATATCTGCCTGCCTCTGCCTCCTGAGTGCTGGGACTAAAGTCCTAGCACCATCAGGTCTGGCAAGAGATATTGGTTCTTGTCACACTGCTGTGAATCTCACTTCATGAATGAGGAAGTAGCTAAGTAGAGCGGTTAAGCTGCTCACTAAAGGTCACAGTACCAGAAAAGGGGGAAGCCCTGTGGCTCTGCTTCAGAATTCAAACAATAGCCATTCCCTCAGGACAGCTTAGGAAGGGGAAGGGAGGAAAACTCTACTGATAGTTTTACATTTTAGGAGCAAATGGTTTGCAACTCCTCCTTTAACTGCATGCTCAGAAATGAAATTCCAAGTTAGTACAGCCCTAGAAGGCTGAATCACAGCCCATAAAAATGTCCATATCCTAGGCCAGGCAGTGGTGGCGCACGCCTTTAATCCCAACACTTGGGAGACAGAGGCAGGTGGATCTCTGTGAGTTTAAGGTCAGGCTGGTTTACAAGTAGCCAGTTCCAGGACAGGCTCCAAAGCTATACAGAAAGACCCTGTGGGGGGGAGGGGGGAAGAGTCCATATCCCAGTCCCCAGAACATATCACCTTTTGGATTCAGCACATGTGTTCAATGTTGAATGAGTGTAGGCATGCTATGTTACAAAAAAAGGGGATGCTGCCGAGGTGACAATGTTAGGATGTTCGAATGGGGTTTGAGTAGACGGCCCAACAGTTCATTCTGTGATGTTCCCTAGGCCTGTGAGGGTGAGGGTAGGGAGGGAGGTTTATAGAGAAGCCCCCTTTGGGGCTGAATAGTCTCTATTAATAATCTCTTATTCTCAGCACTTGGACCAGTTAGGAGTCTCTGCACTCAGTGTTGGCCATCCCATGAAAAAGTGTCTCCAGCCAAGGTCGAAGAAACCACTAATCCGTGGATATAAGCATCAATATTTGGAAGGTAGTTTGTCAATAGTAGGTTCCTCCCTATGACCCCTGACCTCCTGAGCCATGGGCTTTTGATCAGCACAGAGCCTGAAATCTTTCCTGTGGCAGGCTCAAATCCAATGCAAAAGCCGTTGGTGGCCTCCATAGCCCTTGTACCATTATTGCACCAGTGAACACCTCTCACCGGGCAGATCAGCAGTGTGGGATGCACGACCGTAGCTGTCTTTTCCTGGCCCCCTGACCTAGAATGCCTTTCAGTACTGTAAGAAGTACCCACAAGGGAGGGAATTTCCAGGTAAATTTCAACCTGATTGTTCTGTGTCCTGCAATCAAAGCGTGTTTGTGTCTTTGCAATTGGTTTTACCATCGGCAGCCAAGAACAATGGTGCCCTGTGTCGTTTGGGAAGCCTCTGTCACCTCCTTGACCAATAACTCCAAAGGAAGTATCCCACATCTTGCACTGAGGTTTTCATATAATAATCCATGTTTTCTGAGGGAAGCGTTGCCCATCCATTCAAAGTCCCTGTGTTCAAAGCCTGTCTTATTAAGAAAGCAATAATAATACGTTTTAAGAAAATCTATATAATTTCTGACATCACACATCTCCTTGGACATTGCAGGGAGAGTTTCTACGTAGGGAATTAACGGTAAAAAATTATAAAGGAAAAAAAAAGAGCAGATTAAACAAAATTATTTTGAGAGTGGATCTAGCTACAGAGACCAGGATAGCCTCAAATGCACAATCTTCCTGCCTTAGCCTTCCAAGTGCTATATTATAGATATAAGCCACCATGCTGCCTAAAAACAGACTTAAGTAAAAATATAGAGATATAGATATAGCTGTGGGGGCGGGGGGTGGCACATGCCTGTAATCCTAGCACTTCAAGGCTGAGGTAGGAGGATCAGGAGTGCAAAGTTAGTCTCGGCTATGTAGCGAGTTCAAGACCAGCCAGGGTTGCATAATGATACTTTGTCTCCAAACTAAAGCAAATAGAATTTAAGTCTTTGCTAGATAAGTAACATTTACAACCGAGGGAGGGATAACATCTATACACATAGGAAGAGTGCCCTCTAGTCCACAAGAAAAATAATTGACATGCCTCCGTGTAAAAAGGAGGGCCAAAGAGGAGGCACCTTAGGAGGAAGTAGCTACAAAGGTCAACCAGGATGTGAAACTATGTCAGGGTTGGGCCAAGGAAGGCAGTGTACACTCTAAGGAAGCTCTTGCTGTCCAGGTGGGACAAGTACAGGTGGCTTCTGAGGTGAATACTCTTCTGCATTTGTAAAGAGACAAAGCCCCCCCCTGTCCCCACCGGAGGGCACAGTGGATCAGATTTCACATGTACAAACTGCTTGGCCCAGTGGCTACATTTTTAGGAGCTGATCCTAGGGCAGCAGTTAAACAAAGGTGCCGGCTGGAAAGGACATCCAGGATGACTTTGACGAATCAGGAAATAAGAAAGGAAGCCAGGCACTGTGGTTCACACCTGCAGTCCCAGCCTCGGGAGGCTGAGGCAGGAGGATGGAGGGTGCCAAGCCTATCTGGACTAATTAGTGAGAACTTGTCTCAAAACAAACAAACAAACAAAAGTCAAAACAAACGAGACAGAGATGGCCATGTGGTGGCATGCTTGACCAGCGTGCAGGATGCCCAGGGTTTTATCCTCAGCGCTATCGACCATCATAAACGAGCACACCTTTAATGCTGGCACATGCCGGAACTTGGGAGGCAGAGGCAGGAGGACCGGCTCTTAAGGGTCGTCCTTAGTTCAGCAGCAAGCTGGAGGCCAATCCGGCTAACGTGAGACTGACCAGACTCCATCAGAGGGCTTGTTTTCTTTTCTTTCTTTTTCTTTTTCTTTTCTTTTTTTTTTTTTGGTTTTGGTTTTGGTTTTGGTTTTGGTTTTGGTTTTTTTGAGACAGGGTTTCTCTGTGTAGTTTTGGTGCCTGTCCTGGATCTTGCTCTGTAGCCCAGGCTGGCCTCGAACTCACAGAGATTCGCCTGGCTCTGCCTCCCGAATGCTGGGATTAAAGACGTGTGCTACTGCCGCCTGGCGAGGGCTTGTTTTCTGACCTCATGTCCTCCTTCCTACCCTGACTTGAGAATTCTCTCAGGTTCTGCCCTGGCCTCAGTGTGTTAGAGGATAAGGGAATCGTGTTGTTTATCAACCAGGTAGATAGAGGATAGAAGGACCCTTCTACTCCTGTAGCTCTGGCCAAATAAACACAGATTGCTTTCATAGCTCTGGTGCCTCTGATTTCAATGATTATACTAGTTTAAGCCTCTTCTGGGATACCTGGGGAGATAATTTCTCACCAAAAGAATGGAGGGTTGGGGGGACAAAGAGACAGAGAGCTAGAGACAGACAAAGAAGAAGAGAGGGAGTGGAGGGAGGGAAGGAGAGAGGGAGGGAGGGAAGGAGGGAGGGAGGGAGAGAGGGTGAGCTGTAATTTGTCTAGTTTTTCTGTTTCTAGTTTGGGGCCAAGGGTATTCTCATATGAGCTTTTCGACTGGGTGTGTGTTAACTTCCAATGGGCATATGCAATAGAATTGGGCCAGCGTCAGGTCTTCGGCAGGCACATACTTGGCTTTCGAGGGTACTGGACCCCAGCTCTGATATGGCAATGGTAAATTCCGTAAAGGACTGGTCCAGCTGAAGGGCTCAGAACCGGTCCCTTCAGATGAGCTTAACATCGAGCGCCGTGGGATGGGAACAGGAAGCAGATACAACAGGGCTCGCTCTTGTGAACCTCCGAGGGCTGTGCAGTGAATCGGAGTCGTGAGGAGCCGGGGTTGCCAGGTGTGAGAGACACACGTGATTGTTCCAAGATGGAGACAGAACACTCAGTGAGAAGGGGCTTTGCCGTGTGCACTTTTTTTTCTTTTGGTTTTTCAAGACAGGGTTTCTCTGTGTTGCTTTGCGCCTTTCCTGGAACTCACTTGGTAGCCCAGGCTGGCCTCGAACTCACAGAGATCCGCCTGGCTCTGCCTCCCGAGTGCTGGGATTAAAGGCGTGCGCCACCGCCGTCCAGCTTGCACTTGTAGTTTTCTAAGAGCAGGCTGAGGCTGTACCTCGGAGGCAGGGTACCTGCCCAGCATGCATGCCGCCCTGGGCTCTCTCCCGTGTCATGCATGCTTCCTTCACCATCTTCCTTTGTGGTGAGTGTTGCTGAAGTCGAGGCTGGTGTTCGAGGCTGGACCATCACAGCTCCCCTCCCGTCTCTGAGCCTCAGGATCCTTATCTGTTTATCCAGACGATAAACAGTTTATCCAGTTTTGTTCTCCCATAGCCAGGCTGGAGGTCTAGCCTTGGCAGAAGAAGGCCTGGAGTCCTAGGGCTTTCGTCTCTGGGATACTGAAACAGAGAGTCACACATCCTCACTGCCCAGACAGGCGTCCCTCCTCGGTGAGCTGGCTGGCTGGCCTGGAAGTCCCTGTCCTCTGTCTTTGGGCCACAGTGGGCCCAGGGAACGATCCTCCCCTCTGCTGAGTGGCAGCAAGAAAGCGGGGGGGGGGGGGGGGGGGGGGGGGGGGCTCATCTCCAGCTGGCCAGGGAGATACGTCTTCTTGTGCCCCTGAACCCCTCCCTCCCCACAGGCCTGTCCACAAGGGGCTGGGGATCAGCCAGAAAAGTCAGGCCACTCACTAGAGCCAGGGGACATGAGGTCCCTTTGCCAGACTGAGTTCTGTCCCTGGAAGCAGCACGGTGCCCAGCCCCACCCCTTGCTCTGTGCCCCCTCCACTGCCAAAGACTTTGACCTTGTGTTCCAGTCCTTGCTGGTGGGCAGAGGGCTGAAGTCAACACAGAATTGGGAGCATTCCTGCGGGAACCGAGAACCTGCAATCCCACATCTTTCTTCTCCAGACACCCGGCACGAGAGGGTAAGTGGCAGATGTATGCTTGAGCCGGGGGCAGGGGACAGAGCAACAGGGCATCTTCCCCAGGTCAACAACTGTGTTTGACCAAAAAAAAAAAAAAAAAAGGGACAGGCAAGAAAACATCCTTCAGAGAGATGGCACTGTACCCCTGGAGTCATATGGGAACAGCAGGTTAAGAATGCCACCTCTCCAAGCCTCAGTTTCCCCTGATCTGAAACATGGAATCTTTTGTTTGTTTTTCAAGACAGGGTCTCTCTGTGTAGCTCTGGCTGTCCTGAAACTAACTCTAACTCACTCTCTCTCTCTCTCTCTCTCTCTCTCTCTCTCTCTCTCTCTCTCTCTCTCTCTCTTTTTTGCTTTATAGAACTGAAACTCTCTTTGTAGACCAGGCTGGCCTCGAACTCACAGAGATCCTCCTGCCTCTGCCTCCCGAGTGCTGGGATTAAAGGCGTGCGCCGCCGCCGCCGCCGCCGCCGCCGCCGCCGCCGCCGCCGCCGCCGCCACCACAGCCCGGCTCGGACCTCAGAATCTTTGAACAAAGTTCTTTATTATAGTATTGATTAATTGATTTGGTATGGGGGACTCGCACATGCTGCACTCTGCATGGGGAAGCCAAAGGAAAACTCTGGGACTCACTTCTCTTCTTCCGCCAGGTGGGTCTCAGGAGTGACACACAGGCTCATTGGTGGGCACCTTCACCAGCGGAGCTGTCTTGAAGGCTCTGGGATGTGGGACTTTGACTCATCTTACAGGGTGAATTTGAGAATTAGAAGGCGTTTGGATATAAAATGCCTGGTGCGCCGGGCGGTGGTGGCGCACGCCTTTAATCCCAGCACTCGGGAGGCAGAGCCAGGCGGATCTCTGTGAGTTCGAGGCCAGCCTGGACTACCAAGTGAGTTCCAGGAAAGGCGCAAAGCTACACAGAGAAACCCTGTCTCGAAAAACCAAAAAAAAAAAAAAATGCCTGGTGCTGAGCTGAGCCTAATAAACACACCCTAACGGGTCTTTGTCATCATGCTAGGGAGGGGGGCTTGATTCTCAATCCAACGGCTGTCCCAGTTCAAAGACGAACTGGAAATAGCCGCTGCACAAGCCATATATATGGTGTGGCCAGGCAGAGCTGGCTTCTTGGTTTTACAAGTCCTTCATGTTCTGCTGAGAGCACGTGACAATCAAGGGCACAAGCTGCCTCCTCTGATTGCTTTGTAGGGGACAAAGGTTATACGCAGAGACACAAAAAGGAAAAGTCCGGGCCAGCTGATTTCTGTCTGCTTAAAGATTCACAGAGTGCAGTGAGACACAGGCAAGCGGAACTGGATGAGATCTGAGCACATCCCCCACAGGCGGTGGGTGTGGCTGTCAGTTGTACCTCCTCTCCTTCAACTTCTGTCCCTGGCGTAGGATGGCAATAAAGGACATCTCCTAGAGCAGCCAGCTGTAAGGATGAAGGGCTTGTGTCTTCCTGATGGTGGGGTCCAAAGAGGCTCTCCTGTGGCATGCTTATACTGACTTCATTATCTCTCTCTGTCTCTGTCTCTCTCTGATAAAGGCAATAGCCCCACTGGTTCATCTTAGAGGATACACACTCCAAGCACTCTTGATTATAGTAACTGGCCCAAAACAGAAGCATCGATTGCATCTCCAACATAAAAATGTCAGCAACCGCCAGGAAACGGTTGACTTAATAACAGAACTGTGCACTTGCAGGCCAGAAGTTCATTACTGCAGGCGTGGATGAACTTACCTGAGGCTGGGTCCACGGCTTCTATAGTCTGGCTCCTGCTCCTAATGAGGACCGCACGCCTTTATACCACACTCCAATAACAGCTACCCATGTCGGCGTCAAATGTGATTCTTTGCTAGCACGTGCTTCTAAAACAACTGCGTGGGACTCAGAACCTTCCCTCTTCTGGGCAGGCTGGGAGCTACTCTCCCTTATCCAGTCAGGTCCAGTGACCCGGCTAGGCTCACACAATCAGTGTGTGTCAGAGCTAGGCCAAGCTGAGCATGTCCGCCCTGCTAATCCAGCACACTATGAGCTTCTGTGTACTGTGTGCTATGTAGTGTGTGCTGAGTACTAGGCACTGAGTACTGTGCTGTATACTAAGTACTGAGTACTGAGTGTTGTATACTAAGTACTATGTACTGAGTACTGAGTGCTGTGTGCTGTGTACTGTGCACTGTGAACTGTGCACTGAGTACCGTGTGCTGTGTGGTGAGTACTGTGTAGTGTGTGCTAAGTACTATGTACTGTGCACTGAGTACTGTGTGCTGTGCACCGAGTACTTACTGTGCACTGAGTACTGTGTAATATGTGCTGAGTACTGTGCACTGAGTACTGTGCTCTATACTAAGTACTGAGTACTGAGTGTTATATACTAAGTATTGTGTACCAAGTACCGAGTGCTGTGTGCTGTGTACTGAGTACTTGCACTGGGTACTGGGTACTATGTACTGAAAGCCCACCAGGCACCGTAACAGGAACCACTGCAGAGCCTGGAGTTGAATCCTCAAGGCAGCTGATGAGATTGGAGTGACTCCTGTTTTACTAATGAAGTGGTCTTGTCTCGGGGGTGGGGGTGCAGAAGGGGGATAGGAAGTTCTGCTCACTAAACCCCCAGCACCCAGGGGCAGACTTCAAGCTGCCGCCCTCTGTGTGTGGACTCAGTCCCCAATTTGGCGTCAGAAACCCCTGCCGAGTCCAGCCTTTGTGGCCTGCAGCCATCCCCCTTAGCAAAACTAGGCCGTATTGAGAATGTTCCGCTGTCCAGGGCCCGGGGCCCGTGTTGCCAAGAGCTGGGGTCTGTGGGAGGCCAGCTGAGTGCAGAGGAGGTGAGGTTGAGCTTGGCCCTTCCGGACACACACAACCCCCTTGTTCTGCCTCGCGGGAGCTGGCTGAATGGCGCGAGGTCAAAAGCTGCTAGGCCTAAAACATCTGAAGGTGCAGCCAGCTCAGTACTCCAAGACAGTCCCATTCCTCTGCCGGAAGAGCGAGTTCTGAGGGCAAACCCTGCATCAGGCATGCTCAAAGCTGCATCGGCTAGCTGGCAGCCTGGCACACAGTAGGGGTGCAGCAAATGTGTGCTGCATGTACTTGCATTTGAGTTAAATTCCAGCACCACCACTTGGTGGCGCGCTGTGTGAGGCACTTCAGGGCCTTATCTGTAGCGTGGGACTAAAAATAGCAGCCTTGACCTCAAGCTGTAGGTAGGTGTGAAGCTGTAGTTAGGAGGCAGGAGCACAGTAAGTGCTCCCTCAGCATGGGAGCCCCTCCTCTGCACCGACCTATTTTGCCATTGTTGTCGCCCCTGTCCACCCCTGAGGTGTGTCTCGCTAGGCTGCAATTTAGTAGCTTGCCCAGGGTTGACAGCTAGCAGGGCTGAGACTGTGCCCCTGACCACTGGACTACCCTGTATACCGGTGGCTGGGACCCACCTTGGTGGTGCGGTACCCAGGGAGCTACTGCGATTATCAGCTGAGTGACTTTCGGCAAGTGATTTGCCTCTGCACACCTCCACGCTTCTACTTGCAAAGCAGGGACATGGAGGTTGGAAAGATGGCCAACAGCAAAGAGCATGTGCTGCTCTTCCAGGGGACCCAAGTCCAGGTCTCGGGGCTCACAACCACCTGTAACTCCAGCTCCAGGGGATCTGATGCCCTCTTCTGGCCTCCACTGACACCTTGCACTCAGGTGCACGCACACACACACACACACACACACACACACACACACACACACATAAAATAAAAGAAAATAACACATTTTAAAAATTGGGAAACGGCCGGGCGGTGGTGGCTCACGCCTTTAATCCCAGAACTCAGGAGGCAGAGCCAGGCGGATCTCTGTGAGTTCGAGGCCAGCCTGGGCTACCAAGTGAGTTCCAGGAAAGGCGCAAAGCTACACAGAGAAACCCTATCTCGAAAAACCAAAAAAAAAAAAAAAAAAAAAATTGGGAAACGACCTCTTACATTCTAGAATCTTGGACTCTCAGTCATCACCCACGGAAGCGACTCGGCAGCGTGTCTGGTGCTTTCTGAGCTGTCGGGAGCCCACCACGGTGGCGGTGACGACAGTGACCCTCAGTCCACTCTCTCCTCTTGCAGGCTGGTGTGATGCGTGTGGTAGTGATTGGAGCGGGAGTCATTGGACTGTCCACGGCCCTCTGCATTCATGAGCGTTACCACCCGAGGCAGCCACTGCACATGAAGATCTACGCGGACCGCTTCACCCCGTTCACCACCAGTGATGTGGCTGCGGGCTTCTGGCAGCCTTATCTCTCGGACCCCAGCAACCCACAGGAAGTGTGAGTGGGGGTCCCATGGGGTAGTCTGGGGGCCAGTGAAGCTGAGTCCACAGAGGGAGCCTTTCATCACAGTCCCCATCACCAAGGACAAGTCCTTTGTAGAAGCTGTGACCTGACGACATGCGTCCCAGCGCTTGGGGGCAGAGGGGAGGGGGTTATAAGTTTGAGGTCATTGAGGGCGACACGAGACTCAGATTAAAACATAAACAGCCAGGGGAGTGCACCTACCCATCAACCCGTAACTCAGGAAGCAGAGGAAGGGGAAGTCATTGCAAGCTGGAGACTAGCCTGGTCTAAAGTTCTGGGCTAGCCAAGAGTACATAGGGAGACTCTGTATTTTTGTTTGCTTGTTTGTTTTGCTTTGGTTTTTTGAGACAAGGTTTCTCTGCATAACAGTTCTGACTGTCCTAGAACTCAGTTTGTAGACCAGGCTGGCCTCGAACTCACAGAGATCCACCTGCCTCTGCCGCCCAAGTGCTGGGATTAAAGGCGTGCGCCACCACCGCCCGGCACCACCACAATATTATTAAAATACTGGCTAAGATGATGGACACTGGCCAGGTCCATACCCGGGATTCCCAGAGAATGGCCGCATACCCCCTGATGTACTTCCTGCCTGTGTGTGATCAAGTACATCCTGTGCGACTGGGGCAACCAACCTTGTTACAGAAGTGAAAACACATGGCTGGTCCTCTTACCTGAAGAGCAACAAAAGTTCTCTGTCCTTGGGCAATTGGGTTCACAGGTTAGAGGCGTTTCCGTTTTATGGATCTCTTAAGCACAGTGATTTAAACTTCTGCCCTCTAAGGCATCACCACAGGCTGGTCCCTGAAACCGGAGCAAAGCGTGCCTGGGGAGATGGCTCAGAAGGCAAAGCCTTTGCCGCTCAAGTCTGACCACCCGGGGGCCAGATCCCCAGAACCCACTTCAGAGCTGGACGTAGTCCCTCGCATCAGTAACCTCAGGCTGTCCTCGCTGGGGAGACTCCAGGAGGACGCCAGAGAATCACCCAAAACTCCCAGCCCAGCTAGCCTGGAGCACACAGCGGCAAACGGTAAACAAGGTGAAGACCAGGGCAGCACCCACAGCTGTTGTCTGGACCTTCCCATGAGGACCACAGCAGGGGTAGGGGTGTGTGTGTGTGTGTGTGTGCGTGCGCGCGCACGCATACACGCGCACGCACAGGAAATAGATACATAGTGCTAGTGACTGTGGATGGCTCATTCTGCGATGAGTTCTGTGAACTGGAACCTTTGCTGTTCTTCCTTGAGCTGAGTGGCTCGCAATGCCACAGCACTGATGAATCCAGAGAGCCCGAGCATTGAGGATGTTGACTGAAGAAGGTACGAAGGCCATGATGTGTGATTAGCAGCTGACAGGTGTCAACGACCACCCCACAGTGAATGGCATCACGCGGACCCTAAGGCTCACTCCTGTCAAGAAACTCTGAAGCCATGTTTCCGTCAATGGTGTTGCCTCCATCTCCGGTCTTTTATCCTCAAACACAGCTCCCAAAGTCACTTACAAGGATGTCTCCTTTTTTTTTTTTTTTTTTTTTTTTTTTCCAGACAGGGTCTCACCATGTAGCTCTGGCACCTCCTATGTAGATCAGGCTGGCCTCGGAACTCAGAGGTCTGCCTGCCTCTGCCTCCTAGGATTTTAAAGGTGTGTGCTCCTACAGAGAGCCTTGATGTTAGCTGCTTGAGGACCTGTAACTGCAGAGAAAACAAGGGACTGACCATTCACAGAGGCTCCGGCCAGCACGCACTGGACAGCCTGACTGGATCGGAACCAGCTGTGGGCCTGAGAAGAGAGACAGCAAGCCAGTGTCTGTCCCACCTCCCCACACCCCCATCCTGTGCTCACAGTGGGGGTGCTCAGTTCCAGGCTGCACTGTGTGGTTCCCAGTTCTCAAAGCAGTGTGAGCCCAAGCCCCAGGCATGCTCCTCAGGAGTTCACAATAGGGACGCTTTTCTTCCTGGGTTTCCATCTGGGAAGCCAGGCGGGGGTCTAGAGCTGTTTGGAGCACTGGGGGAGTGGGCCCCGTGGATGTCTGGTTTTGCACACAGCCTCACCGCAGTGCAACACAAGCTGACCTCAACAGTTCTGTCCAGGGCGCCGCTGAGTGACCAAGACTCTGGTGCCATTTTGATTAGGAATAAGTTTGGAGTCACAAGAGACCAATATTCCACGTGAAGTGTCTGGACAAGGCAACCCTTATCTTGATGTAGAGGGTGTGCTCAGAAGACCAAACATACACAGACAGGAAGCGCATTCGATTTTTATTCTAACTCAAGTGGTGACTGTGTCTTTTCCCCATTGGCTGGGGTCCAACCTCTGATTCTTTTTTTTTTGTGTGTGTGTGTATGTGGTTTGTTTGCTTGTTTTTGATTTTGATTTTTGAGACAGGGTTTCTCTGGGTAGCCCTGGCTGTCTTGGATCTCGCTCTGTAGCCCAGGCTGGCCTCAAACTCACAGAGATCCACCTGCCTCTGCATCCGGAGTGCTGGCATTCGATTGGGTAGTCTAAAAAGAATTGGTGCACAGGAAACAAAGGGGGAGGGGGGTCTCAGCTCCAGGTCATCGTCAAATTCCTTCAAGGTCTTACAAGATGGGGAGCAAATGAGATTTTAATTCCTTGACCTAAACTCAGGTTTTACAGGAATCGGTAGAAGAGACTCATATGTGCTATTTCTTACCCTTCCAGGGAGTGGAATCAGCAAACCTTCGACTACCTGCTGAACCACATCCACTCTCCAAACGCCGAAAAGATGGGCTTGACCCTAATCTCAGGCTACAATCTCTTCCGAGATGAAGTTCCGGTGAGCGGAGAGTCTTTGACTGTGAGGGCAATAAGCCATGGCGCAGAGACACTACAGAGCTAGACCACTCTGTGGGTAGAAAGAAAGGTTGACTGGGACCAAATTGCCAAGGCTATCTCTCGGGGTGTACAGGGAGACAGAGAGAAAAGCAAGATGGGAGGAAAGCAGGCTGTAGGATTGAGCAGGAACTAATGTCCTTGCCGGAGGTAGCTGACCTCTGAGGGGAGGTGAAGGGAGTTTCCTGGAAGAGTAGGGGTGTTCCCTGTTCTGCCTTTCTGGTGAACAGAAACCCAGAAAGCCACCTTTAGACTTGTTTAGCCAATAACAACCTATCTGCTTACCCGCCAAAGTCCTCTGTTTAGGACAATATCACCAGCACTGCCGTGTGGGTGGGTGGGTGATTTGGATCTAACAGGGCACAGATGGGGCTGGGCCCTGAGCTGGGGGAGCACTCAGAGGTCACAGACACGGGTCCAAATCAGATCTATCTATCTATCTATCTATCTATCTATCTATCTATCTATCTATCTACCTATCTATCTATCTATTTTGGTGGAGTTGAGGACCAGGGCTTTGTACGTGCTAGGCAAGTATCTTGTCACTGAGCTACACCCCAGCCTCAGATCCACTGAGAACCTCTGTCTCTCCCCTACACCCAGACTTTACCCCACCACTCACTCTGAGCTCACACAATTTGGCTCTACCTGTTAGCTATGTGGCTTTAGACAAGTTACAAACTCTCTAAGGTCATTTGGCCCATCTGTAAGGATGCGCACAGCATCCGCCTCAGTGGCTGGTTGTGAGGATCAAACAACAGAGCCAGATAAGTAAATGCTGCTGACTGTCTGTCACCCAGCAAGCATTCTGTGAGTGTCTGTTATCCTGATGGTCAAGTCCACCTATCCCTGTAAGCCTGTCTCTGCTTCCACAGGATCCTTTCTGGAGAAACACAGTTCTGGGATTTCGGAAGCTGACCCCCAGAGAGATGGACATATTCCCTGACTACAGGTAAGATTCCTGTCATGGGCAAAGACATTGGAGCATGACAATTCAAACAGAGCTGTCCAGAAGGCAGCCAAGAACAGAAGCACCAATTTGCTATCCCATCTCAGTCCTAGAGCCCCTGATACCCTGTCCTTCTGATGTCCAGCCCCTTCCTGGGGTTCCTGGTACACCGGGCTTTGGGCGGAAATGTCAATCAACTTTGTATCCATATGATAAAATACTAGACACAAAGCTACCTGTGGAAAAAAAGGCCTATTTTTAGCTCATGAGAGTGCTTGTCGTAATCCAGGAAGCAAAGAGAGGGGACGATGAGGTCCCACATAAAGGCCGCTGATGGCTTAAGGATCTTTTTCTTTTTTTTTTTTTTTTTTTTTTTGGTTTTTCGAGACAGGGTTTCTCTGTGTAGCTTTGCGCCTTTCCTGGGACTCACTTGGTAGTCCAGGCTGGCCTCGAACTCACAGAGATCCGCCTGGCTCTGCCTCCCGAGTGCTGGGATTAAAGGCGTGCGCCACCACCGCCCGGCTAAGGATCTTTTTCTAACCAAACCTTCTAATCCCATCACCTCTCAAGGGCTACCACCTCAGAGACCAAGCCTGTACCTATGGCCTTTGAGGGATGTTCAACATTTAAACTTGTCTTAGTTAGGGTTTTCTATTGCTGTGAAGAGACACCATGACCATGGCAACTCTTACAAAGAAAACATTTAATTGAGGTGGTGGCTTACAGTTTCAGAGGTTGATTATAGGGAGCATGGTGGCGTGCAGGCAGGTGCTGGCTACATCTTGAGCAGAAAGCAGCAGGAAGTTGACTGACTGTCACACTGGGTGAAGCTTGAGAAAAAGACCTCAGAGCCCGCCCCCACAGTGACACACTTCCTCCAAATAGACCAGACCTACTCCAACAAGGCCACCCCTCCTAACAGTGCCACTCCCTTTGGGTTTTCTTTCAAACCACCACAGAACCATGGCACTCCACATTGTCAAACCACTCTCTCAAATGAGGAAACAGAACTTCCGAGAGGCTAAATGACTTCCCAGGGCCACAGAGCCATGTGACCACACTCGGATTCCAGCTCAGCCTGTGTGCTTCCACGATCCTGCCCTCTGGTCCTCTCCTCACCTGACCCCATCCCCCAAAACCACCGACTTTATGTATTTGCATATCCCAGGATGGCATGGTTTGATGGGAAGTTCCTCCTTGCATTGAGCTGAACTCCCACACCGTCACCCCCCAGATGCCACCTGGTAGCTCAGCTCTAGCCACTGGGGACTCACAGAATAATACCAAGCCAACCCTCAAAGCGCAGGTTCTGACCTCTTTCCCTCGCTCTGACTCTAGCTATGGCTGGTTCAACACAAGCCTGATTTTGGAGGGGAAGAGCTACCTGCCGTGGCTGACTGAGAGGTAAGACCGAAAGCTCCCTTTGAGAAGGACAGGTCCCAGGGACCAAGCTTTGGAAGAGTAGTCATGGTGACAAAGGCTGAGGAAAGTCCCCGGGTGCTATGTGGGAGCTGTCCCTGGTCCTGACCCCCGCTGTGGGCGGAGGCAAGGGTTCTGCACCCCCCGCAGAGCATCTGGGCAGATTTTCATTTGTTGTACTTCTTAGCAACATCACGCAAGCCTTCATGCTCATAAAATGGATTGAAATGTTTTTCTAGATGGATTTACATAGTGTGCATGAGTTATCTTTTTTAAAATTTTTCTCTCCCTCTCATTTTTCTTCTCTAACTGCTCCTGCGAGTATCCCTAGAACAATGCGAAGTGATGGAGCCAAGAACGGATGCCCCCGTCTTGTTTTAATAAGGATCGTGTCATGTTCCTCGTTAGCGAACATTAGCTGGGGGGGATCGTGTACATTAAAGGAGACTATATATAGTTCCTATATTTTATTAAGATTTTGAAGAACTCCGAAATGAATGGAGACTTTGTGATCTGAGAAGACCTTTTAAAATACAGCTTTCAGGATCCTACTCCACACCTGCTGAGTCCAAGCCCCTGGAGCAACGGTCCAGAATTTGGTTTTCGACTTTGTGTTTTTGAGACAGGGTCTCACTACGCATAGCCCTGGCTGGCCTGGAATTCTCTATGTAGACTAGGCTGACCCGGAACTCACAGAGACCCACCTATCACTGCTTCCCAAGTGCTGGGATTAATGGAGAGTCTCATGTCTAGTAGGTCCAGAATTTTGTATAAGTTGCCTGGGTGAGTGTAGCTTTCAGCCAAACTTGGGAACCGTGTCGTGTGAGAGCTTTCCCGAAGAGGCACACACACACACACACACACACACACACACACACACACACACACACACACGTGACTACTCACCCCAGATAGGGAACCCACAACAGGATCAAAGTCCAGTTTGGTGAAAACCAATGAATGCATTGCGTTAGCAACAGGAGTTTGGGTAAGGGGTCATTTACAGGAGTAAGAATGACTCCAAGACACAGCATCATCCAACAGCACAGCCCCGCACGGGTGAAAGCTGCCACCCCGGGGCTCTCAGCTCATCCCCGAGGCAGCTGCCTGGCTGGGAGGATCTCCCCTGGGCTGCTCAGCTGGCCTGAGTCTCCTCCCTTAGCCAGGTATTGATTGTGTAACCTGGGGGAGGGGCCTCATGAATCTTGTATTTCATCTTCCCAAGTCATGTGACATTCATTAACTTCCTGTCTCAGGAGCCTTCCTGCTCCTTCCAGGGAGGGGATGTTAACAAATCTGAGGGAAATGCACCATAGCAAACCATTGTGCCGGCACGGCTACTCTTGTCCTTGGGACATTGTGACCCCTGACCTGCCTCTTCCCAGGTGTCCCATCGTGAAGAAATTATGTAGTTAGAACTTCTTCTGAGGGAACCCTCCAGATAGTTATGGTTTCTCGCTCTTTTGATGGATTTTCAGTGCCAGAATCAAACCCAGGGCCTCGAATAGTCTGGGCAGAGACGGCACCACTGAATCCTTCTCTGGGACATTCAAAGGGAGGGATGGGTATCCTCAGGCCCACTGTCTCTGGTGTCATGCTCTGCAAAGGTGCATTTGACACTGGTCCAACTCTACCTCTTCTCCCCACACCCCTGAAATCTGTCCCTTTTGATATAAAGCCCTATGATGACAGGAGAATATAATGAAAGAGGCCGGGGCTTATGTCCCAATCTCTCGGTGCACTGCTCACTCTGTGACTCTTAGGAAGACCCTTCTCCAACTCTCAGTGAGCAACTGGGGCCATCCAAGAGGGCCTTGTTTTCAAAAGGATGATTTTCAGGCCACTGGTCCAGTCAGGTGCCCAGGAACTAAATGGCTACCTAGGAGCATCTCGTGGGGCTCTGTCCACAGGAATGTCCCCCGTGCTGCCCTCTAGGAGGGATGTGGCGGAGAAGGGGCTGTTTTGATGTGTCTCATCATCCCAGGTTAAAGGAGAGGGGAGTGGAGTTCTTCCATCGGAAGGTGGAGTCTTTCGAAGAGGTGAGTGGCAGGGGTGTGAGGGGAAGGACATGGGAGCGAGGAAGGGAAGATATTTCCTGCTGCTGTGTGGGAGACCCCTTCTTAGACTTCCGGGGTCCCTGCAGGCCTGCCCCAGGCTCTAAGCCTTGTCTCAATCCCAGGAGGCCTTGGGCATTCTGAGGGAGGAGGTGTCAGTCTTGATGTCGGTGCTGAGAAGGGAACAGTGAGATCACAGCGGCCAGACGGGACTGGCTTTGCCTGGTCCCAGGTGGGTTTTAAAGTCAGAGTCAGCTCTACTCCCCTCCATGGTTCAGACCCTTCCCTGCTTCCCACTGACACCTGGGTTGACACTTCTGCAGCGCCCAGGCACTCAGCTGGGACCACAGGCACACCATCAGCATGAGCAATGATAAGATCAGGGCCAGCACGTCCTATCAGGTCAGCTACGCGGCTTCACTTAGTCCCAGGATGCAGAGTAATGCTTGGCACAGGCAAAGGCCGGCACCTCCAACTGCTAGTGTTGAGCTCCTGGGGGTCAGGTCTGGCCCAGATGGACACTTGGGCTGACTCTGACACAGCTCCCCTTCCTGGTGGCTCCAAGACAGAACACACTTAGCAGTTTATGTGTCCATGATGGCCTTGAGGGGAGTCACCAGGCATGGGCTGGAAGCATGGGGGTGCTTACTGTGTCTGACTTGACAAGCGTTTGGGGCATAGGCAGAGCCGAAGCCAGTGTCCTGGCAGAGAGAAGGTAAGAGGATCTTAAAAGGGGTCTGATGAAGGATGGCGCCATCTTGGCTTAATAGGAAGGTTTTTTTGTTTTTTTTTTTAAGGTTTCAGGGAGGTTCTCCCTCTACAGGACTCTCTGTCCAGCAGTCTCTCCTCAGGGTCACACGGCATCCTCACAGTAGCCTGTGAACATTATTGTCAGCCGAGTGGTGGTGGCACATACTTTTAATCCCAGCTCTCAGGAGGCAGAGGCAGGTGGATCTCTGTAAGTTCGAGGACAGCCTGGTCTACAGAGTGAGATCCAGGACAGACAGGGCTATATAGATTAACCTTGTCTTGGAAAAAAAGAAAGAAAGAAAGAAAGAAAGAAAGAGAGAAAGAGAGAGGAGAGAGAGAGAGAGAGAGAGAGAGAGAGAGAGAGAGAGAGAAAATTATTGTCAAATGAGAGTACAGAGCAGTTGAGCCTCAAGGAGCTAAAAGGACATTCTTAACCAAGGTCCCCAGATCACCAGCACACCTCACCCAGCCCCCCAGGCAGCAGACAGCAGTGGTGTGAGAGTCTGAAGGGGCCAGGGCACGGCACAGTCCTCACTCCTCCCTGTCCTTTGTCCTTGCTGCCAGGTGGCAAGAGGAGGCGCGGACGTGATCATCAACTGCACCGGGGTGTGGGCTGGGGCGCTGCAGGCAGATGCCTCGCTGCAGCCAGGCCGGGGCCAGATCATTCAGGTGAGATGCTGCGGTCAACGGAGAGCTGGCCCTGCCTGCCTCCACCACTCCAAAGCTGGTGGACGGCGGTGTTGAGCGACTCCAACCTTTGAGGAGGTGACTTATTGAAGAAGTAGGGACCAACCTACCCCCTGTACCCCAAATGTTCTGTTTTGGATTTTTTTATTATTTATTTATTTATTTATTTATTTATTGTTTTTTGAGACGGGGTTTCGCTGTGTAGCTTTGTGTCTTTCCTGGAACTCACTCTGTAGTCCAGGCTGGCCTCGAACTCACAGAGATTCGCCTGCCTCTACTTTCCAAGAGCTGGGATTAAAGGCATGCGCCACCACCACCCAGCTGTGTTTTGGAATTTCTTACCCATAGCAAAGTGCATGTTGAGACGTTTTTCCAATGTGAGAGTCCTAGCACAGACCTGAGTTATTAAGAAAACAGCGAACCTTTATGAAGTGCTTATCAAGGGCCAGATTCACACCTGAGCACTTGACAGAGTTGATCATTTAGGCCTTACCACAGCCCTCTGAGATGGTCCTATCATATCACACTGCCACTTAACTGGAGCACAGAGGTGTCAAGTAACACGTGCAAGAATGCACAGCGGAAAATAGTGAGACTGGGATTAGAACCCGGGTCAACTGCTCTGTGGGTGTCACCACTGTCCCATGCTTCTCATGATGCATGGGGACATATATGTACATGCTTGCCTATTTGTGGGCACACTGATGGGTGTGGCCACATGCACATGTGCACGTGTGTGTGTGTGTGTGTGTGTGTGTGTGTGTGTGTGTGTGTGTGTGTGTGTTCCTTGTGGGATTGATGAGCGTGTGTGTTTGCTCCTGTGAGCTAAGGTTTTTCTATAGACGTGTGGTGAGGACGTAGGATACTCCAGGGAACAAGGGGAGCTGTCTGTCAGGTGATCCTCATGCAGTTCTGGGTCAGGGAATGAGGGGAGCAAATGAAAGGGGGGACCATCAGCCTCGCTCCCTGACGAGGTGTGTCTGCCTTGAATCAACAGGTGGAGGCCCCTTGGATGAAGCATTACATCCTCACCCATGACCCAGCCCTCGGCATCTACAACTCCCCGTACATCATCCCAGGGTAAATCTCTGACTGATCTAAGGTCATAGAGGGGACTCTTTCACGGCCTCTTAACACTCCATCCACCTGCCCAGGGTTTCTCCTCCAGGTTTCCTTTCTATCTTCCTTCCTTCCTTCCTTCCTTCCTTCCTTCCTTTCTTTTTCTTCCTCGTTTTTCTTTTTCTTTCTTTCTCTCAGTTTTTTTTTTTTTTTTTTTTTTTTTTTTTTGAGATAGGGTTTCTCTGTGTTGTTTTGGTGCCTGTCCTGGATCTTGCTCTGTAGACCAGGCTGGTCTCGAACTCACAGAGATCTGCCTGCCTCTGCCTCCTGAGTGCTGGGATTAAGAGCATGTGCCACCATTGCCCGGCTTCTCCTCCAGGTTTTATACATGGGCTTGGGCAATGAAATCCCTGGGATGATGGGATTCAGCCTTGACTGGACCTTACCTTGAGCATCCCTTTGGGTGGCGGTGGTGTAGAGCCAGGACAAAGACCCTGGATATACAGGCCGTGACACCGAAGGTGGTGGGGATGGCCCCAGAGGGAGCGGGGAGAGCAATGGTGTTGACGGTGTTGATAATGTTGACCTCGGAGGTGATGGCGTCTATGGGGCAGTGTTGAGAGGTTGGCAGGGCTGTTGGTGTTGAATGACAGTGGCATGGTTATTGATGGGGAAAGATGGTGCTGATGCGGACGTTGACAAGCGTAGGGTGTCAAAGCGTCGATGTTAAGGAGATCAGCGTTGGTGATGGTGGTGATGGTGGTGGAGGGGAATGGCATTTGGTGTTGATGAAGATGAACCATGTTTCTAGCATGATGGAGATGATGATTTCCAAGGCAGTGAGTGGTGTGGTGGTGCTGGATGCCTTGGGAGGGAAGGTGATTTTATTGGCGTGGCGGAGAGGGCAATGTCATGGTGATGTTGCTTTGGTGGGATACAGGGTGACTGGGTTGGTGTTGATGCTGCTGCTGGTCATGTGCTGCTGTATCTGTCTTTCCATGAGTTCTGGGGGTCTGAACTCAGGTTTTCACTGCTGTGCTGCAAGTCCTTTGCCCGCTGAGCATCTCTGTTGTTGGCGATGATGGTGCCGGGGATGGGTGGCACAGTGGGTTGATGGAGATCACAATGGCAGTGGGGTGTGTTTAGCGGGGATGGCGATGTTGACAGGAGTGGACGACTCAGTGGAGACGATCGTGAGGGAGAGGGAGAGGAGAGAGATGCCTCTCTTGGCCAGGCCTTATTTTCCTTAGAACTCTTCGTTTTGATCTAGGTTCAAGACAGTTACTCTCGGAGGTGTCTTCCAGCTGGGGAACTGGAATGAATTAAACAGCGTCCATGACCACAACACCATTTGGAAGAGCTGCTGCAAACTGGAGCCCACCCTGAAGGTGAGGGGTGTCAGTGCCCTAGACCAGGGCAGCTTGGTCCTGATGGGGGGATATCTCTATTGGGGTAAGTGTGCAAGTTAGCCCCAGAGAGATACCGGAGTCTGCAGCAGCAGCATTTGACAGTGTTCAGAGAAGTCCTCGCTATGCGCTAATGACACCTAATTGGTCCTTGTGAGAACGTCCTTCTTAGGGTGGCATCTTAGTGTTTTCACAGAGAGCGGGTGTCCTTGGTGCCTCCATTTTTGTGTTTGCCTGATCATGGTGATGCTGGCGAGCTGGGTGGGAGACAGTGTTGGGGTTGGCAGTGACAGAGCCTCAGTGGTGGTGATAAGATGGAACCGTTGGTTATACCAGGACAGTGGTGGGTGGTGATTGACACAGATAAGCTAGTATGAGGTGGCAGATGGTAAAGGAGATGGCTCAGGGAACAAAGGACTTGCGGCATAGCCAAGTCCAGGTCCCCAGAACTCCTGAAAAGATAGATGTAGCAGCACACATCTGCAATCCCAGCACTCCTATGGTGACTCGGAAGGTGGAGACCAGGATTCCTCAGGGTTGTGAGCCAGCTAGCCTCGCACATGTAGCAGTGAACAGACCTTGTTTCAAACAAGGTGGAAGGTGAGGATTGATACCTAAGGTTGTGCTCTGACCTCCACTGTGGCATGCATGCACATCACACACACACACACACACACACACACACACACACACACACAGAGGCACACACACATACGCATATACACACACACAGGCACATGCACACACACACATGCATATGCACACACACAGGCACACACACACACACAGGAAGAGGGGGGCGGCAACTGATAATGTGTGACCAAACAGTGTGGTGACTAATGAAGGGGGTGGTGCTGAGATTCTAAAAGCTAACTCACAGCTTCCTAGAATGTCAACAGAGAAAACCATCTAGGTAAGTTGCCAGCATTTTTTTCTCCCCAGAATGCAAGAATCGTTGGGGAACTCACTGGCTTCCGGCCAGTCCGGCCTCAGGTTCGGCTAGAAAGAGAACAGCTTCATTTTGGATCTTCAAGTGCGGAGGTGTGTTGAGTCAAGGGAAGCGACGCCTGCCCCAACTTCAACAACAACCCTGCCATTTCCCAAGAAAAGCCACTAACTGATGGAGATCAGGTGGTGGTCACCCCCTCCCATAAATGGGGACACCCGGACGAGATGAGGAAGGACCGAGTAGAGAGAAATGGTATTTTATGCCAAGTGGCAAGACAGACTCATAACCTTCCCTAGTCTACCCTGAAGTTCTTTGGATAGGAACAGCTTTCTCTGCCCTCCTGAGAAAAAACAAGACTTCCGTTGGTGATGTCACCTTGCTTAAGCCAGACCACTGGTGACAGGCAGGGCTGTGTATAACTTGAACCCGACTTGAGACATTTCTAGGATGTTCACTTTGTGGCTGTACTATTTATTATCTTTCATGGGGGGTGGGAGCTGAGAGCATTGAATCCATTGGTTATTCCGTGCCAAAGACACTGAGCTGAGCAGGTGTGGGCTGGAAGCGACCCCTGGACCAAGGTTAGTCTTCTCCTCTTAGACAGATTGGAGTGTGTGGAGGGTATGTGTGTGAACATTGTGTGCATGTAGACAGAGGGGCACAAATGTAGGTGAGTGTATAGAGGGGCCGTGTATGTCTCTACAGAGCTGTGTGAGTGTGTGGGGAACGATGATGAAGGGAACGATGTAGCAGATGTCCCTGACTTCAGGGTTTCACAGTTCCGCATCTCCTGTGCTAGGGGATGAAGCAAGAGTCTAGGGTACCATCCTACCCCTCCTCAAATACTTTCCCTTAAGCTAGTCCCAGGCCCTGCCCAACATCCCGCTAACACACTGGTGGAGCTCATGGCATTGGGTTTCACCAAGGCTCTTTAGAAAGTTCCCAGTCTTCCAGTGTAGCCAAGCTTTTCTGAGCACTCCTTGATGTCCCTTCTGTACCTGGCCACCATCTTTCTTGCTTCCCCAGGTCATCCACAACTATGGTCATGGAGGCTACGGGCTCACGATTCACTGGGGTTGTGCCATGGAGGCAGCCAACCTCTTTGGAGAAATTCTAGAAGAAAAGAAGTTGTCCAGGATGCCGCCATCCCACCTCTGAGGATGCCAGTGACTATCATTTGCCCCATGAGGACACCCCAGTGCCATACAGCCAATTAACTGACACTGTCTTCTTGAAGATTTTGCAGTTTCCCCTTCCCCAGCTTTCTTAGGCAAAGGTGTGAGGAAACCCTGATGCTCCACTCATCCATCATGGCCTGGTCCTTCCCATGCATCCCATCTGGTAAAGCATCTGCAGGGATCCTGGCTGGTCCTAAACTAGTCTACCCGAGACAGGCAAGATCCAAGATCATGTAGCAATCCCGTTCTCACAACAGAATGATGGTACTACGGCTGGTAGTACTGGGTGGCAGGGTCTGTGCTCAGTCCATTAGGAGTGGTCTGGAAACCTTTGCTTAGAACTCTGATGAGTGGTTCGCCTCACATTTGATGTCTACCTGTAGTAACTGGTGGAGTGGCGGGGGGGGGCTCCCGCCCTCGGCACTCCGCTGGTCAACGTTATTAAAACACTCTTTGGATATCCAAACTCTCTTCAGGGTTGGTCCTAAGACGTGCTTTCCTCTCCTCCTCACCACCACAAAGGGCGTCTCGGTGGTCTTGAGAAGACTTGATCTAGGTTGTATGTGTATGTGTGAGGGTGAGGGAAAGGGGGAGAGCAGAGCTCAGGACCTTGAGCGTGCAAGGCAAGTGCTCCACCACTGACCGAACCCCATCCTCTTGAGACCTGAAATCAGAGAGAGGAGTGTACAGCCTTGGTACATTGAAGAACTTTTTTTTACGTTTGTTAATCTGTCCTGTCCATGTATGTGGGTGTGAGCATCCATGGTCATGATGTCTTAGGGTCAGAGGACAACCTGCAGCAATCAGTTCTCCCCTTCTACCCTGTGGGTTCCAGGGATTGAATTCAGGGCATCAGGCTTGGCAGCGTCACCTCACCAGCCTACTGAACATCTGTCGACATTTTCTGAAATACTTTCTCATGTGGAGAGAAACAGATGACATCCCCACTAATAAACAGGGCGTCTGTAACAGGGTTGCTTCAAATCAGACCCCAGCCCTGCTGCTCCGGGTCCAGTGTGTTTCTGAGGCATGGAGGCTCTGAGGAAGTCCTCGCACTGCTCAAAAACACTGATCTTAAAAAAAAAAAAAAGAGTTAGCCGGGCGGTGGTGGCGCACGCCTTTAATCCCAGCACTCGGGAGGCAGAGCCAGGTGGATCTCTGTGAGTTCGAGGCCAGCCTGGGCTACAGAGTGAGTTCCAGGAAAGGCGCAAAGCTACACAGAGAAACCCTGTCTCTTATTTGTTGTGTATATGTGTTGAGAAGTCTTAAGTTGGGGTTTCTATGTAGCCAGGGTTGGACTTGAACTCACGGTCTTCCTGCTTCTGCTTCCTAGGTATTAGTGTATGGAGTCATGCCCAGGTAAAGTAGAATCTGTCCCTCTCTCTCTTCCTCCCTCCCTGTTTCCCTCTCTTTGTCACTCAGCTGTGCGTGCGTGTGCGCACGGGCGCACATGTGTGTGCAAGAGATAGAGAGAAAGAGAGAGTGCATGTGTGCATGTGTGAGTGTTTTGCTTTTGAGGAGGTCTCATGAAGCCCAGGCTGGCCTCAAACTCACTGTGTAACTGAGGATAACTTTGAGCTTCTGACCCTCCTGCTTCCCCCTCCCAAGTGCTGGGATTACAGGTATGTACTTAACTTTAAACTCAAAAACACTTCAAGAGGCCAGGCAGTGGTGGCGCAGGCCTTTAACCCCAGCACTCGGGAGGCAGAGGTAGGCCTCTGTGATTCGAGGCCAGCCTGGTCTACAGATCTAGTTCCAGGACAGCCAGGGCTACACAGAGAAACCCTGTCTCGAAAAACAGAACAAAATGAAAAAACACTTGGGTAGAAACTACAACTCTCTTCATTTTAGGCCCCCAGAGAACACTCCTGCCCTGACTGTGAGTTTCTTCCTCACTGGAGCTGGGTTATTTGAGGATGAAGAAGTGAAAATGACCAGTTGGAGGGAGGAAGGGAGAGAGGGAGAGAAAGGGAAGGGGAGGGGGAAAGGATGAGAGAGGAGAGGGGAGGGGAGGGGAGGGGAGAAAGGGGAGGGGAGGGGAAGGGAAGGGAGATGAAGCAAAGTGCAGGCTGCCAGTTATTACTCAGGAGAGCTGAGTTGCCCAGAAATACTTCAAGAAATTCAAGACTCAAGGAAATGTGGCTGAGCTGGGCAGCGGTGGTACAGTAGGGAGCCTGAGACAGGAAGATCAAGGGAATGGGGCTAGCCTGGGCTACACTGCGAAAGTCTGTCTCAATTATCAATAATAATAATAACAATAATAATAACCACAATAAATGAAAACGTGACTGTGAGGACACGGTTAAAGGGCTGGACGCCAAACTGTCTCCATGAAGAGGCCGCCATGCCCTCCTCCCTTTACAGTGTCCCCATCAAACTCAAGTTCCCGACACAGCCCGCAGCCGGGTGACTGCACCTCACAGGAGAGGAGATTGTATCAAAGCACTTCCTTGGATGGACCGAGTTAGCCGACGTTGGAGCGGACTGTCACTAGAAGCTGTCACCAATGACCAGACGTAGGCCCTGTCATGGTCCGTCACCAACGTTTTAATAAGAGATGAATGCACAACGCACATTCGGCTTCCTTGCAGTGTGCGCATCGAGCCGTGGGTCGGTTTCCTCTGGCCTTGGATGGGGCCTGGCAGTTTCCTTCCTTCCTCCCTCCCCAAAAGCGTTTCCTCCCCGAACCTTGGGAGAAGGCTCGTGTGTTTTGGAATCTGGGAGTACACGTGGACTGCCGAGACCTCCCTCCCGTCCTTCCTCCCGAGGCCCAGACAATGGCTTTCCCCTCCCCTCTGACATGGACTTTTCTGATCCTTGCGCCAAGGCATCCTCCCAGGACCCGCCTCTGTAGGGCCAGTGCTGCCCTTGACAGACGGGGCATGAGAGAAAGCAGACCCGGGAGGTGCAGTGGGCTTCTGGCCCCAAGACTGAGTGGCCTGCAGCAGGTGCTTCACCCGGAGACCCCTCAGCCCGTGCAGCTGTCTTCACACAGCATGGTCCTGAAGCCTGAGTAAACTGGGGCTCACCATTCAGTAGGGCTGAAGAGGGAGCCAGAACAGAGGGCCCAGAAAGCCCTTTGCTGCTTCAGCAGAGACTGGCTTTGGACTTGACTCTCTCCTCGGCCTCAGTTTCCAATTTCCAGGTTGGGGAACAAGGTAACAGCTTTCTGAGATGATCCCCTGGTGGGCACCTAGCTCTCCCCAGAGACATAACAGGACCCTCTGCAGCCAGAGATAGCAACTCCAGAGGGAGGGGGCCGGGTGGGGGGCTGCTTGGTTCAAACCAGATGCACATTTATCTGCCAGTTTCCATCCGGCAGGCCCCAGAGAGACATCTGGAAGGGCCCAGCCAAGGAAGCAGTGGGCATCTCTGGCTCCATAAAAGCTGCTTGGGCCAGACACTAGCTCACCTTAATTCCAAAGAAAGCCTGGGGCCAGGGAGCAGAAGAAACCTACTGGACAAAATGGCAGGTGTCACAGGGGTCTGGGCCTGGACTGTATCTACGGAGCTCTGTGGGTGGTGGCTCCCCAAGGGTATGACTGGGTAACTATATGACATCTGCTCAGCTGGCCCTGAGCATCCTGGGACCCTCCCACAGTAGCAGTTTCCCCATGCAGATGCACAGTGATGTACAAACCTTCCCCCACCACAGAGAACCCCCTGGAGTGAATGCCACCCCCGTCTTCCTGGGGCGGGTGACCCTCGATGAACATGGCCAAATACAGCTAAGACACAAAACCCTGTTGGTCCACATCACCCTCTTGGGTAAGTTCTCGGTGTCGGCAGTGACCGTAAATGGCCTGGTTGGGCTCTGCCAGCTCCCTAACCTCAAAGACCAGCTCAACCCCCAGGGGTTGGTCATCATTCCTGAGAGCCAGAGTTCGACCTGGGGACAGCCGCACTGCTGGTCCCCCGACCAACCATCTCCTGGCCCCACTCCCGGTGGCTGGACTCCTGCAGTCCTCGGCCTTTGGTCTCGATGGGCAGAAAGCAGGAGGCCACGGCAGCCAGGAGGCAGCAGCCGCTGTAGACGGCCAAGGTCAGGTACACAGAGGATTCCAGCATCACCTAGGGAGGGAGAGGGAGGTGGAGAACATCTCAGAGCCACAGGCGGGCCATGTGACAGACAGCAAGCTGAGCACTTCACACACACACACACACACACACGTTTCATACACAGGAGACTGAGGCTCAAGAGGATAGATAAGCCACTAGGTATGTGATGCACATTTCTAATCCTAGCACTGAGAGGCTGAAGCAGGAGGATTATGTGAGTTCAAGGCCAGCCTGAGCTACAGAATAAGACATATCTCAACAGATAGCCTAAGGAGCATATTCAAGCTTATATAATGAGGATAGGGCTGAGATTTGAACTCATTGTCTTAAGATTCTGTACACTGCCCGGGCAGTGGTGGTGCACACCTTGAATCCCACCACTCAGGAGGGTAGGGGCAAGAGGATCCTGAGTCCAAGATAGTCCCAGACATACAGTAAGACCTGGGTCAAAAAAACAAAACTAACCAAACAAGACTATAGTCACTGCTGGCTGCCTCCTGGGTCTGTACTGGGGCAACACTTGCCTGAGCAATGAACGGAGTTATGAGGGCGCCCACTCTCGCCATGCCGCTGCAGGTACCCAGGCCCAGTGCCCTCGTCGCCGTGGGGTACACCTGGAATGTCAGTGTGTCAGCCAGATGTCATGGGGAATGCAGAAATCCCTCACCCCTTCCCACTCAGGATAGACAGGACTAACTCCCCTGGGCAGGATGGGAAATGGGCAAAGGAGGTAGGAGGTTCCCCCAGGGCAGAGAGCACAAGGTTGGCCTTGAGCAGGAGCCCATTTACCTCTTTGTTTTTCACTGTGGGGAGGTACTCCGCAATTGGATTTTCTAGTTAACAACGGTGGGGGTGGGGTGTAGACAGAGTGTTTGCCTGGCATGATGAGGCCCTGGGTTCCATCCCAGTATAGTGGGAAAAGCTATGCATACAGTTCAGTAGGGAGCGCTGGACACCATGTATAATACACAATACATACACATAATTACTGATTATACATAGGTGTCTAGCACATGGCTGGTACTCCATATAGGAAGAAGAAAGGGATTAATTAATACTACAGTTCTGTTTTTCTCTGCTGGAGAGCTTCAAGAGTTCCAAGCTGAACTCAGCAATGACCGCTCTCCTGCAGGCGCTGTGACCTGTACTTAGTTCAGCCACACTGCATGCACCTCTTGCTCCTCCCAAGCTAATGGAAGCAGGACACAGATGGGGTGCACTGCACCCCAAGACGCTTCTGCATGTGCCGTTTTGAGTGGCTTCACTCTGTTGGAAAAGCCTTTGGCCCTCTCCCATACCTGTGTCTGGCTTTCTACACTAGTTTTGTTAGTTTCTTTCTTATTTTGTTCTCTGAGCGTGTGTTTGGGTGGATGACTGCCGAGTGTGTGTGTGTGTGTGTGTGTGTGTGTGTGTGTGTGTGTGTGTGTGTGTGCCCTTAGAGGCCAGAAGAGGGCGTCGGAGGCCCTGGAGCTGGAGTTATAGGCAATTGTGAGCTGCCCAATGTAGGGGCTGGGAATCAAGCTTAGGTCCTCTGGAAGACCAGTGTGTGCTCTTAACCACTGAGGCGTCTCTCCAGCTCCTAGTCTGGGTTTTCACAGGCTACACAGACACCTACCACTTGGATGGGTTGTCACCTATTCAATTAGTTCTTCAGGGTCACCAATGGCCAGCTGGCTGAGGTTTAGCCGGGCTTAGAGAACGTGAAAGTTTTTAAAAATATGTTTTTGTTTTATTTTGTTTTTCTCCTTTTTTTTTTTTTTTACAGTACTGGGGTCAAATCCAGGACCTCCATCACTTTAACACTGAGCTGCATGTCCAGCTCACAAACATTGCAGAAAGTTGTCTCCAGGAAGTGAGGATGTGGGCCCCACCCCATTCGCTTTGGTGATACACACCTAGGCAACCTCTGGAACTCTTACACTGCACTTAAAGCTTGTATGAGCAGAAAAAAAAAATGATTGAAAGATAAGTGGAAGTCATGAGGGGGCCACAGGGGCCACCCAGAGCCAAGAAGAACTGATGTTCTGGTCTGACAGTACCCCCACCCCCACCCCACTCTCGGGTGCCCTTCCTACCTCAGGTGTGTAAACATAGGCCGCTTGGAAGCCTCCAGAAATAAATGCTCTTGCAATGAAGAGTAAGAGGGTGAGCACATTTCTGGGAAGGAGAAAACAGC